GTCTCAGGTTCAGGAGAGGGAAATCAAAGAGAGCACGGTGACACCAGCTGGAATAAGGAAAAGGACAGGGCAGACACCCATACCGAACATGAGCTCACTGAGAGGAAATCACGGAGTGGATCTGTGCCATCTCACAGCCGGAGCTTCGGCTTACACCAGTCAGTATGGTGGAAGCCTTTCAAATAAGGATGGCCATTCCTTTGAGACAATCAACATATTATTTCCAAATTAAATAAATAAAACAAAGACAAAGAGCTGCTGTGTCTCCTGGGATGTTGAGACAACTAGCTAGAAGGCGGCCAACAATAACAGAAGGAGAGGAGGCGTTCTGTCTCCCTCGGGGACCATGCTGTCCATGCCAGTCTCTCTGCAGATGGGAAAACTGAGGCCCCAAGGAGTCACCTGGCAGTTCAAGATCTCCTGGACTCATCCACAATAGAGCGTCCAAGCCTGGGATTCTGGAGACGGCAGTGCTGGCGAATGAAATTTGTTCAGCAGCCCCCACAAGCTCCTCCAAAGGGAGAGACCCCGCCTCCAAGACAAGGAGTCCCGTTCTTCTGACTCAACTCATATTCCCTTGCTTGTCTAGTAAATGGCAAGCAAGATTCTTTCCAGAAGCCTGGGGAAAACAGGGCCCCTTCTCCTTCAGCTGCAGGTGTGCGTTCCAACCCCTAATCCTGGCTCAGAACTATGAGCCACTGATAACCCAGAATTCAGCAGCAACTTGCTCTCCACCAGGTGGGTGAGGAGGTATTAGAAAAGCTCTCAAATAGGCCTGGCAGTGGTGGCGCTCGCCTTTAATCCCAGATTTAGGAGGCAGAAGCAGATGGATCTCTGTGAGTTCGAGGCCACTGTCCTGTGCCCTCAGAAAGATGATGAAAATCAAGGAGCAAATTTCCCTCCTAGCCGGGATGGGATGAGGGAGTGTATCCTAGGAGGCAGGATGAACTGCACTCTGGAGAGTTTCATGTTTGTCCCCTGAGCCTGGCCTACTGTTCTCTGCCACCTGTGGTTCAATTCCAAGCCCCTGAAGGCTCTTCCTGCCTGGCAGGAAACATGTGCTAGGAGAGTGTGCAGAGGGAGCCGCTGAAGGTCAGGGAGTCTCCATGCTCCTGGGTGGGACTCCATTCCCCATCCACAGTTGGCACAGTGTCCTTAAGGCTCATCCATGTGTCTGCTTCCTTCCTTTTTAAGGTTGAACAAGTGCCATTGTTACATTCTCTGACAAAAGGCAGGGTTTGTCCTGACCTGGCATGGAGAGTCCTCCTATCCCCAATCACCCCTTCTGGTCCTGCACCCCCTTCTGGTCCTGCACCCCCTTCTGGTCCTGCACCTAGCATAGCCATCTGTTCTTACTGTAAGAGAAACAGCTATGTAAGATCAAACAGAAGCCACAAACGGAGACGCCACACTGCCATTTCCATGACACTCTCGTGTCATGGGGATAACACTGGTGTCTGGGGACACGCTTCAATGTTACACATTGCAGATGCCCTGGTATCCTCTTTGGTTTGCCAAAGACCAAATCTGGATCCTGTGAAATCACACCACGAAGAACATGTTGAGTAGCCTGCACTGGCCTAGGCTTAAAGTGGGAAGGCAAAGTGAACGGAATCTTGACTGTGGCTTTAGCCAGGCTGAAACACTTGAATCAAATGGACAGGAGTATCCCCACTTGCTGGTCATCCCCTCAGAGGCCTTTTTTACCTGCCCTCTCATGCAAAGTCTGCTTTATTCTTCTTCATAACACTCATGCTTATTATCTGCCTCCTTTGTTGAACTTGAGTGTGGAGGTTCCCTTGTCATTCATGACCTGGTCCCCAGTGTCTAGAACAATGCTTAGCATACAGTCGATGCTAGACAAAGTATTTGTTGACTGCAGAGAAGAATGGATAGAGACCATGCAGTGGTGGCACACACCTTTAATCGCAGCATTTGAGAGGCAGAGGCAGGTGAATCTCTATGAGTGAGTTCCAGCCAGAGCTGTTACACAAAGAAACCCTGTCTTGAAAAACAGAACAACAAGGTGGGGCGTTGGTGGCACAGGCCTTTAATCCCAGCACTCAGGAGGCAGAGGCAGGCAGATCTCTGTGAGTTCGAGGCCAACCTGGTCTACAGAGAAAGTGCCGGGACAGGCTCCAAAGCTACAGAGAAACCCTGTCTTGAAAACAAAACAAAACAAAACAAACAAACAAACAAAAAACAGAACAAAAGATTGGATACAGCCAGGGTTGGCGGGAGCAGGGATGGGGGTAGCTGCTCACACCTTTAATCCCAGCACTCAGGCAGAGACAGGCAGATCTGAGTTTGAGGCCAGAGTGTTCCAGGATGGACAGAGCTACAAAGAGAAACCCTGTCTCAAAACAATGCGCCCCCCCAAAAAAAAATGGATAGAAAAAAGAAATACAGGAATATCAATGGGTGATTGTAGACACCTGGTTGAAGAAGTGACCGCTGGAGGAGTGGAAAGGGTCCGGAAGGCTTCTCTTGAATGTAGAATAAAACAGGCTAGCAGGGAGGCGAGAGCACAGGCCCAAGCAGAGACTCAGGAAAATATGAGATAATCTAAGCAAGGTGGTTCCGCCCTTCCTCCCTCTCCTGCCCTTCCTGCTCCAGGCAGGGGCTCGGCCTTAACCCAGACTTCTGTACCTCCTGTTCTGGCCGGTTGTGGATGGAAAGAGCTTTGTCCAGGGCCAGGGCAAGGCCCTTTCGGACTCTCATAGCTCAGAGCCTGCACCGCTCCCTGTGAAGCTTCTAAGAGCACCTAGAAGCCACCTGTTGCCAGCTGCCGGCCTCTCAGGCCTGTTCTCCATGCCTCCTTCCCACCAAATGGACCTCCTAGCCCAAAACGTCCTCATCTACCAATTAGCATAGTCAGTCACCTTCCTTTCCAAGGACAGTGGATCACTCTTCCCTTGATAGGGTTACTGCATGGGCACAGGTTACTAACCAGGCCGTCTGTCTGAATTCTAATTCCCTGTCTCATCCCTCACAGATTAGGGATCCTTAAGCCTTTAGGTTTATCTGTAAACAAACACAATATGGAACGGGATTGTTATGAGGACAAAGCTCCGTGTAAAGTCCTTAGCCCAGGCCCTGGTGTCTGCATGCTCAGTAAGAGGCATGTGTCATTACTTGTTGACTACCCTGGCCTGGCAGCTTACTTCCTCTAAGGCATATACAGTGTGTAACACAGAATTCCCTAGTGGTTTTTTTTTTTCTTTTTTCTTTCTAATACTCCTTGTAGTCTTAATGCTGGTGGGGGGGGGAGGCTGGGATAGCAGAGACAGAGTTCCCTGTACTCCTATAATCCACAAAGTACCCACTTTGCATCCTGCAAGGGTCCTGGTGGGCATGTAATACATGCAGATGTCTAATAAGCAGAACGGTAGTTGGTTACGAGGCATGGTGGAAGCTGTGAAGGGCTTCTACCCCACCGGCTACTTCATCTCTGCAGGCTTCTCACTCCCTAACCTTTTCCCTGAGAGGTCTCAGGGTTACAAGCACTTTTCCTTTACCTTCCCAGCCACCCCATTCACACACCGAGGGGCTGGCTGGGCACCTCTAGCTCTTTCCCCAGATTCCACTGCCTTGTGCCAGCTCTGTTGGAGAAGGCGACTGTCAGGCCCACACCAGGAGAAACCTTAGTGAGCTTAAAGGAAGTGCTCTTGTCCCAAGCACAGGGATAGATGGTTGTTCCAGTGTTGGTGGAGCAGGAATGCCAGGGTGCCATGTGCAGCTTGGTTTGGTCCTGGAAACTTAACTGGGCAACGAGGGAATGAAGAAAGGGCAGACACACATACAGAAAAACTAGGGTTGGGTGAAAAGGCATGCAGTAGCACCAACTACAGAGCAACCCAGAACCTCGGCCTGTTTATTATGTACAGAATCAATTGGGGTGAGCGCATAGGAGAAGTCTCAGGTTGCAGTCCCCTGGGAGGAGGGAGCTGCAGCTGCTAGTTCACACACACACACACACACACACACACACACACACACACGCACACGGATCAACATTCAACACTCACTTGGACCAGAGGAAGGCTTTGCCACTTTCCACCAGCCTGCGGTATTGGTCCTTGGTCCTTGTCATTAATACACATTCACACACACACAGGACTAACCCGCTGGTACAAGGCAGTGGAATCTGGGGAAAGAGCTAGAGGTGCCCAGCCAGCCCCTCGGTGTGTGAATGGGGTTAACTAGTCACTCAAGGCTTCCCCCCCCCCCACACACCACACCAAGACCCAGAAGCTGACAACAGGTTAGCCTGACTTGCTTAGCAGGGAGCTTTCCATGTGACCTGAGGTCACTGGCATTCCTCCAGCCTTCAGAATGCAGCCTCCATCCAGGTAGAGAGATTACTGGTCACAGTGAGAACTAGAACGCCCCTAGAGCTGGAGTGAAAACAACCAGGAAAGGAACAAGCCTGGGGCTTAAGAAGGAGCTAGAAATAGGGTGTGACCGGGAGCATGCCCTGGAAAACTTGATAGTGTGAGGCAGAAAGAAGTCTGGAAGGCTGGGAGATGGCTCCCCTGGTATAGGGTTTGCTGAGTCAGCCTGAGGACCAGGGTTCAATCCCTACACATGTAAAACAGGCATGGTGACGGTGACATGTATATGTAATCTCAGTGCCGGGGAGACAGAGACAGTGACAGGCTCATCTCCTTGAGGCTTGCTCCTAGCCAGCCTAGCCTATTTGGCCAATTCCAAACAAGGTGGGTGGTGGGTGGATGGCTCAGGGGGTTAGGAGCACTGGCTGTTCTTTGAGAGGACCTGGCTTTCATTTCCAGCACCCCCATGGTGGCTCACAATCATCTGTAACTCATCACAGGGGATGTGACACCCTCCTCTGGCCTCTGTGGGCACGGTATGTATGTGATGCACACACATACATGCAGGCACAACCGTCACACACATGCAAACAATTAAAATAAAAAGCACAAGACGACACTTGATGTTGGTAACCAGAGTCCATATACACCACACACACAAAGGCGTCAAGAGTCTGAATTTATTGTGAAGGTGTATACTAGATGTGGTGAAGATCAAAGATGACTCCAAGGGCTGGACAGATGGAAAAAGGGCAGATGCCGCTGACAAATACAGGGGGACTCTGTGGGTGAACACATCTGGGGTGGAACAGGGAATATGACAAGTTCAGCTGCAGGGATTCTAGCCATCCAAATGGAGAAGGCAAGAAGATGAAGGCAGCTGGGTAAATGCATCCTGGGAGAGAAGAACAAGACATGCAGATGCAGCCAGCAAGTGGAGGTCATCTCCAGCTGACTTGCTTGAGATGAATCAGGGCTGCCTCATGCTCTTCTGACTTGGCCATCATCCCACATCACTTGGCTGCCAAGACCCTTTAGTTTTTGAGAGCTACTACCTATATTTTCTTTCTTTTTCTTCTTTCTTTCTTTCTTTTTTTTTTTTTTTTTTTTTTTTTTTTTTTTTTTTTGAGACAGGGTCTCACTATGTAGCCCTGGCTGTCCTAACCAGCCCAGGCTGGTTTTGAACTCAAAAGAACTACCTCCCTAGGGCTTAGATAAAAGGTAATTGTCAATATACCCAGCCTTTGTTTCTTTCTGCATTTTTCTTTTCTTTTCTTTTCTTTTTTTTTTTTTTGAAGATGGGGTCTACATAGCCTGATTGAGCCTTGAATTCACAATCCTAACTGCAGCCTGGACCACTGAAATTACAGGTTGGAAGCTCAGCTCCTGGCATGTCATAGACTTCCCAGAGGAAGCAATGTCTCATTCAGCTTTGGAAGAAAGCGAACCAGGCAGTTAAGGGGTGTGTGGTCGGTGAACAGTGCATTTCTGCCACGTTGGGAGAAAAATGGGGGTTAGGGTGGAGAGCACAAGTTAACTCAAGTTAAGTGTGCTGGAGGAAGGGGGGGTAGGGTGACTCACTGTGTAAGGACCTGTTCTATAGGAACCCACCCAGATTTCTCTAACAAGGGGAGGTGGGCAGGGGCAGGCTTGGAGCCAATGGCCTAACGTCAGAGCTCCTGGGTGGTCTAGGGAGTGGTCCTTAACATCCAACATTTTTCAGCTGCACAGTGAGCCGCAGCCATTCTGACTCGGCGGTTAGCCGTTCCTGCCTCTGCCCTTGCTGATAGGATTCATTTTCATGATCACAGATTATATTCACAGAAAACCTCCCAGCCAAACCAGAGCTGGAGAGTTACTTTGAGAGGGGTGGGAAAATACAGAGGAGGAGGAGGAATTTCTGGCAGGAGTGGGCAGAGCGGCACTCATCAGCAGGCTTTAGCTGGGAACTTTTCCCAGGCCTCAAGGAGAAAGCAATGACCTGGGAAGGCAGCCACTTTATTACAAGAGTGAATTCGACCACCACACAGTAACACAGGCTCTTCTGCATCCCATTTCCCGGGCCACGAGAGCGCCCTGCAATGATGGGAATGCTCTTTAGGCTGTCCAGTGTACAGCAGCACAAGCCACTTTTGGGCACAAGCATGGCTGCTACAAAAGGGAAACACGAATGTCTGCACTCTACCTAGCTTGTGGCTACCACACTGGACACCACAGCTCTAGGCTCTGGCCGGGCCTAGGGGGAGTTTGCTTCAAAAGCTAACTCTGGGGACAGAAGGAGTGGTAGAAAAAGTCCCACCCTTCTCCCCTTGGACAGAATGAGTAGTTAGGTGTGCAGCTGCAGCTGCTAAAGGGGCGTCTTAGAGAGGAGGGACACCACGGGCACGTCTGATGAGGTTGGCCAATCTCTTGGCCAGGCCACCCGATTTGGGCTCCTCAATGTGGAAGGTGCGGGTGAGGAGGTTGTAGAAGGAGCCGTAGCACACAGCCACCACAGTGCATGTAAGGCAGATTACATTGTAGGGCATGCTGAAGTCAGGTGTAGGCAGGTTTACCAGCAAGGGCTCTGTGTAGAGTCGTACAAAGTAGCTGGAGCCATCAGACACTGGGAACCTAGGGATGGGAAAGAGTGGTGAGACGGGACTGGCTGCTTCTCCCTCCCTCCCTGCCTTCCCCAACCTTGAGCTGCAGCTTGTGCTACACAGTCGCAGCTTCCAGAGTCCTGGTCTTGCCTCCTTGTAAATAAGCACCTCATGGGAAAGTGCATGGGTGTGTGTGTTAGCAGACACATACATACATACATACATACATACATACATACATACATACATGCATGCATGCGTGCATGCCTGGTCAAAAGAAAGCCACCAGCACTGAAGGGTCTGCCTCGTTGCTGCCTTAATCTACTACAAACTACCACTAAAACCGAAACCACCACTACTACCACCCTAATCTAGAATATGCCCTTTGGGCTGTGAGCAGAGTGGGACATGCCAGGTTGTATATAGGATGCTTTCTGAAGTCCTTGCCACTTGGTAAGCAGTTTCAGTAAGCAGTCCCACTGCTTTTAAGGTCACTGGTACATGCTACTATTCTCACCTACTTGTTTTAGCAGTAGCACCTTGGAAGCCTTTGTTACAATCTTCACACATTTCACAGACCACTGATTAAATTTCCCATGGCTTTGGAAGCCACCCAGTAGGCAGCTGAGGACCTAACAGCAGGAGGGTGTGGTCACACTTACAAGGTGTTGAAGAGAGGACTCCCTTCCCAGTCCACTGGTTTGGCTGCCACCACACTGGGCACCAGAGCGCTGAGGACAGATGGGCTGCAGAGAAGCAGACAGACAGCTGTGTTCTTTACTGGCTGCTCCCACCAAAGGGTAAGAGCAGAAGGGGGGCAGTCTATCGGGGTAGAGCCCACCTGACATAGAAGCCGTGGTTGGGGTCTGGTGTGTATTCAGTCCACTTGAGCAGGGCCCGCTCAAACTGGATGGAGACCTTGGTGACAGAGTTGGCTGGCAGCTGAATCAGCATCTCCAGGAGGTGGGGCTGCTGCCGGTCCTGGGCAGGTTGGTAGTGGATGTAACCTGGACGGAGGCAAGAGCCACCTAGACTCTGTTCCTAAAATCAGACTACCTACACCTCCCCGCTGCTCTGCCTTGGGACCAAAAAGAAGTCAAGCCAGGGAAGAAACGGTTCTCCAGAAAGGGAGAGCATGCTTCCAGGCAGCAATCCCAGGATGCAGTCAGAAGAGGCTGTGTGGATGCCACGGGCCATCAATCTCCTATCACTAAAGCCGGGGCATCTCAGCCGGCCAGGTGGCTCATGGGTAAAGACACCTGCTGCTGAGCCTGACAGCCCTGCTTGTTTCAGTCCCTGGAACCCATATGGTGAAGAAGAGAATCAACTCCTGCAAGCTGCCCTCAGACCTCTTCACATGCAACCCAGAGCAAATACCCCTCCCACAAATAAATAAATAGATAAATAAGTGAATAATTAGTTAAATAAGTCACTATTGTCTGATGTAATACAACAGGAAGTCCACAGAGCCATTTGGGAATTCTTGCCAAAAATATAGGACATAAATCTAATCAAGTTTCTAAATGTAATACCAGTTCACATTAAACAGCAGCACAAGGGCAAACCCAGAAATTGTACATTCCTTACACATTATATAACAGACGACCCAGTTTTAGCAAATAGCACTTTTCTAAAAAGTATGTATGAGAGAGCCGTAAGAAAACCTGTTACTTTGTAAGCAAATTAAAAAATAAAATTAAAACAAAGAGCTGTGAACTGTTATAGATTGGTGTTAACCCTTGTCAAGCATGAGGCTCTGGGTACAATCTCCAGCACAATCATGTTTTTCAGTAGTTCTTTGTTAAATTACTATTTTATTTTTGTTTTATGTTAATGTATGTGTGTCTGTGAGTGGGTTTGTGCATGAGTACAGTACCCCAGAAAGAGGGCGTCAGACTCCCCCAGGAGCTGGAGTTAGAGGTGGTTCTGAGCCGCCTGATGTGGATGCTAGGAAACAAATTTAGGTTCTCTTTTAGAAGAGCAGTGAGTGCTCTTGACCTGCTAAGCCATCTCTCTAGCCACCTCTACAACCAGCAGCAACATAAAAAAAAAAAATAAATAAAAAATAAATGCTGGGACGTGGTGGCACATGCCTTTAATCCCAGCACTCGTGAGGCAGAGGCAGTCAGATCTCTGTGAGTTCGAGGCCAGCCTAGTCATAGAGCTAGTTCTAGGACAGCCAAAACAACACAGGGAAACCCTGTCTTGAAAAACAAAAACAAAAAGGGGGCGGGGTTAATTGGTGGCTGAGCTCAGTTGTAGAGCGCTTGCCTCGCACATACAAGTCCCTGGGCTGATTCCCAGTAATGCAGGGGATGGAGAGAAGCACACACAAAATACGGCATGAGAATGATAACAGGGCTGACTGCAGAGAAAGAACACAGAATCTCTGAACTTCACTGTTCTGCAAACCTAAAAGTACCCTAAAAAATAAATAAAGCCCACAAATTAAAGAGGAACATGCTCAAGAAGTAAACTACAAGAACCTGCTAGAGGGGAGTGGACAGATGAAAAGTACAGACAAGCCAAACACAAAAAGCTATTGCTAGGGCCCTGGGGACGCTAAGAGCGATAACATACGAAGATGCCACCATGACACCTGATGTGTTATATGCTAACATATTCTGAAATATTTAAAGTCAAATTGATACAATGCTTTAAGATGTTTTAAAATATTCAAAAAACAAAACAACCAAAGCAACTGAGAAGAGAACAATAAAAAAGACAGGAAATTGGAGACTACTAAAGGAAGGATACACAAGTGGGAACCTATTATGCTTGGGTGTGTTCAAAATTCTCCAGAGTCAAAGAAAACACAGCTGAACCTGGAACAGGTCCATGCTAGGCCTATGTTCCTAGCTGCTTGGGAGACTGAGGAAAGTGGATAGATGAAAGCTCAAGACCAGCTTGGGCAACTTCACAAGATCCTGTTTCCAAGTGTAAAAGTCAAAAGAAAGCTGAACATAACAAACAAACAAACACCAATGGTCCTAGCAGGCCAGCCAAGGCTATGTAGGAAGACCCTATCTCAAAAAACAAACAACAACAACAACCAAAAAACAATCCCAGCCCTCTTTGTTTTGGTTTTTGTGGTTAGAGAGCACGTGTCTAGCACGTACAAGGCCCTAAGTTCAAATTCAATTCCCAAAACCCTAGCAGAAAAAAAAAAGGCACAAAATTCATTGCGTGTAATGTCTGAAGGGTGTCTGAAATACAATTTTTGAACAGTGCTGAAACAAGTAAAACTATTAACCACAGGTCTGAAAATATGGGAAACATGATTTAAAAGTTCTTCAGTTTGCCCCCTGGGATTTGTGTTTGCCTCTTTCTCCTTCACACCAAAGAAAAACAAGTGCTTGGGTGATGCCAGGCACCCAGTAGGAAGCATCAGGAAATGTCAACACTTCCTTAAAAAATAACAATTTTTTAACTTAATTCATTTATTTGGGGACAGGTTTCAAGACAGGGTTTCTCTGTGTAGCCCTGGCTATCATGGAACTCACTCTGTAGACCATGCTGGCCTCAAACTCAGCAATGGGTCTGTCTTAGCCTCCTGGCAAAAAACCAAAAACCAAAAAACAAAGACAACCAAATTCTAAATTTTACCACTGTGCTAGCTAGTTTTATGTCAACTTGACACAAATTATAGTTACCTGAAAGGAGGGACTCTCAATTGAAAAAGTGCTTCCATAAGATCCAACTGTAGGGCATTTTCTTTTCTTTTCTTTCTTTTTTTTTTTTTTTTTTTTGGTTTTTTGAGACAGCTCCCTGTGGCTTTGGAGGCTGTCCTGGAACTAGCTCTTGTAGACCAGGCTGGTCTCGAACTCACAGAGATCTGCCTGCCTCTGCCTCTCTGCCTCCCAGGTGCTGGGATTAAAGGCGTGCGCCACCACCGCCCAGTGGGCATTTTCTTAATTAGTGATTGATGGGGGATGGCCCAGCCCATTGATTGTAGGTGGTGCCATCCCTGGGCTGGTGGTTCTATAAGGAAGCAGGCTGAGCAAGCCACAAGGAGCAAGTCAGTAAGCAGCTCCCTTCCATAGCCTCTGCATCAGCTCATGCCCTGTTTGAGTTCATGTCCTGAATTCCTTCAATGATGTTTCTATGATGTAGGCCAAATAAGCCCTTTCGTTCCTAACTTGCTTTTGGTCATGGTGTTTCATCTCAGCAACAGAAACCCTAAGTAGGAAAGATGTTTGTACCAAGAGTTGGGTATTGCTGTGACGGATGTGACCATGTTGTTTTGGGGAGGATGCGGAAGGACTTTGGGATAGAAAAGTCATTAAGTGTTGAGAGCTCAGTGGGATGTTCTGTGGGAGCCTGGAAGATAAGAATGTTGAGAGCAGTGCAGATGACAGAAGCCTGGCTTGTGAAGTTTCAGAAGGAAGCAGACTCTTTCAGTCCTTCTGTGTGAAGAAGCTGTGGTGTCTGCTCAGCTGGAGAATTGGCTATGATTGGCAAGAGACCAGAATTCACTGTGATTAACAAAAGACAAGAACCACTAAAGTAAACTTTTGCTTTTCTGGAACAATAAATGATGCTCATCTGGGGCTGAAGAACCAGCAGTGATTAAAAAGAGACCAGCATCATTGAGGTGAAGTCTTCTGGGAAGTGTTTTCTTAGAGTCAGCACACAGAAGCTGTGTTCCAGAGGCAGCCAAGGTTGTACCTTGTGCTGGGCAACTAAATTTGGTCATATAAGAATCATCTAGATAGTGCTAGTTTTGAAGGTATGAAGGTGTCATGGAGAACATCTGAGGCTTGGCACTGTGTGTCAGGTTGGAGTCCCTGAAGAGAGCCCAGGGGAGGCTATTGGTGAAAGTGCAGCCCAGTGTCAGCAGAAGCCCCCAGCATTTGGAGAAGCCAGTACCACTCGATGACCACTAAGAGCAGCAGCAACAGTAGAGTGGAGCCAGCTGAAGCCTACAAGTCAAGCTATATGAGCTGCAGAGGGCAGAGCCAGAGAAGTGCCCCAAGTCCTTTGGAGCAGCCCAGAAGATCATGAGTGAATCCCAGACATTGGACATTGAGTTATTTATATTGTTGGTTTTGCTTTGTTCAGATTGTGACTGTGCCCTGGTTCTTCCTTCTTGAAGTGAGAAGTATTTAATTTATTTTGTATTTTATTGGAGCCCACCCTTGAAAGACTTTTGACTCCCTTCTCCCACCCCAAAAAAAGACAGGGTTTCTCTGTGTAGACCAGGCTGGCCTCAAACTCTAATTGTCTGGCTAAGACTCTGAAATTTAAAAGAAACTGGCTACTTTAAAGAGATGGATTTTTTTTTTTGTTTTGTTTTTTGTTTTTTTTTCAAGACAGGGTTTCTCTGTGGCTTTGGAGGCTGTCCTGGAACTAGCTCTTGTAGACCAGGCTGGTCTTGAACTCACAGAGATCCGCCTGCCTCTGCCTCCTGAGTGCTGGGTTTAAAGGTGTGCGCCACCACCGCCCAGCTAAGAGATGGAATTTTTAAATGTTTGAATTTTTAAAGACTATGGGATCTTTAAAATTCAGAACATTGATATTAATATATGATTTTGGGGAAGAACAAGAAAGGAAAGTTTCTGGCTTAACAGTGATGTGTTTGTGTATCAAGTTGGCAAGGGGTCAACCTCTTTACTCTCCCAAGAAAGTGAAGAAACCATATACCCCACCTCTGCCACCTTCTCAGCCTCCACGACCTGCTTCTCCTTGCCCAACCCATTCTGTCTTAGACTCTATGTCTGCCATGAAACTTGAGGAGGTGCGCATAGGCTCAGGGAGGAGAAGAAGAGGAGGGATGATGCTCTGTCCTTGGACTGTGCTGAGGATCACCAGCGGCATGTGTTCTAAACGTACATAAGGACTGCTTTTGCTTTGTTAGTTACTTCTGAATCTAACACAGTGACGCTTTCTGCTGGGTTTTGTTTTTGTTGTTGCTTGGTTTTTCAAGACAGGGTTTCTTGGTGTAACAGCCCCAGCTCAAACTCATAGAGGTCCTCCTACCTCTGCCTCCCAAGTGCTGGGATAAAGGCATGCGCCACCACCGCCCAGCCTCTGCTATATTTTCTAAAACTGTTCCTAACCCTCTTTTTCAGCTTTCACAGGCCTTCGGGTGTACTTCAGGAACTACTGAGAAGGGAGTCTGGAGGACCTAAAGAGAGAGTGAGCGGAGGTGAGCTGGGGGGGGGCTGGCTGGGACTTAGCTCCTCACTTGGTTTGTTCTCCTTGCCCTTGGAGGTAATGGTGAGCGTGTGCACATACAGCCGCAGGTACCAGGGCACAGCATCCAGCAGCAGCACGGGGAAGGCCCGGTAGGGATGGGCGTTGTACAGCAGTGTGCTCAGCTCTCCCTTCTGCAGCCCGTAGCCACTCACGTACCGCTGTGCGTGCAGGAAGGGCACTGGTAGGGCCTCTGCTACAAGAAAAAAGAGTCGACACTGAATTGCTCCTGAAGAAGCATCACTTCCCACCCCAGCTCCCTGAGCCATACTCAGAGTCCCAGCCCAGAGACCAGGTGGGAAAAAGCTCCGCCATAAGAACTGGGATGCGTGGGCTCCGGAATATCCCGCTTGCGCCCATCACAAGGACAAGATGATAACTATTACCACATGCTCATGAGTCTACCACTGTGTCCCCTTCCTGCCCACACCAGCGCTCTCAGGGTGTTCCTCCCATTCCTTCGGGAACAACTATAATGAACTGACTCCACTCTTTTACGGTGGTATTATTTGCCACTCTATGTCTAGAGCATGGCTGAAAATCAAAAGTATTGGACCAAGCCGGGTGGTGGTGGTGACGCACACCTTTAATCCCAGTACTCGGGAGGCAGGGTACTGTGAGTTCAAGACCAGCCTGGTCTACAAGAGCTAGTTCCAGAACAGCCTCCAAAGCCACAGAGAAACCCTGTCTCAAAAAACAAACAAACAAAAAAACCTACTGGACCAGCTGAATGTATGAATGAATTCTGTATTTTACAGTAATTATCAGATCCCATCCACAAGGCATTAGTGTCCTTGTTTGTTACAGACGCTAAGGCTCAGTGGAGGTAGGAACTTGCCCAGTCATTAAGTGGAGAAGAGGTGAATTCAGAGAGCTTCGTCTAAACCCCTATGAATTTGAAGGAATTGATGAAATACTGACGGTCTGCTGAACACCCCCCGCCCCCCATTAATTCACCATTATCTGGAGGTCTCTTCCATTTGAGCTGGAGGTTGAGGTTTCGGGAGTTATTGATCATGGCTGTGTCAAACAAGTCATAGACAGCATAGGTCTTCCGGGTGCCCAAAATGACATCCTGGTATGTGGAGGTGGGAGGAGGGCTCACCTCCAGTGTTTCGTTGTCCTGGCAACACAAGGGTGGCACTCAGAAGCTAGCAGAGGGACAGGCTGATGTTGGGGAAGAAGGGTATACGCAGCTAAACACCTTGGTACCTGGCCGTGGCCTGTGATGTCCACGTAAACTAGGCTCTGCGATGCCAGTGGGCAGGCCTCTGTGAGCGTCCGGGAGAACATGCGGAAGAGGGACCAGTCTGAGAAGAAAGAACAGGGTTGAGCAAGGGCTGGGGTGGTTGGGTCCATGCAGACAGAGCAGGACTGTGACGGGTGGAGAGAGATGAGGTCCCAAGGCAGCTCACCTTTCTTCCCCTGTCCCGTGATGAAGGCATCAAATACAACTGAAAGGGTCTGCCTCAGCTCCCAGGAGACGCTGGTGCACTGAGCATTCTGTCATAAGGGCCGGATGGTAGCAGTCAGGGACTTTACTCACATCCAACCACACAGCCCCAAGGACTAACTGGGACATAATCCCTATCTGACTTGCTGCTGTTCCCTATGGAGGGAGCATTTGACCCTGAGCCAGGTTGCATGTCAACAGCTTTATGTGCCTCAGTTTGATGAACCATTACATCCACCCCCAAAGTAGAATCTATTACTCTCATGTGACAGATGAGAGAATGAAGTTCAAGGAAATGAAATGATTTCAAGGTCATGCCAGCTGGCAAGTGGCTGAGCCAGCGGCTGTGCTCGCATGGCTGCTGTTCCTGACTTTGTGTTCCACAATAAAGATTGATTGAGTGCTTCCCAGGCAACCACTCAATTACCCTGCTGCACAGCCAATGCCCCACATAATGAGGATCACTTCTGCCTCTCACTACTTATTTAGCCAGAATCAGGCAGATTTACCTGTACTGTTTCTCAGAGCCTCTGGATGACACCTATCCCCATCCCCCATGGCTTACTCTGCAGATAGGACGGATATGCACTGCTTGTGAGTGGTAACTGGTGTGGAACAAGCGATCTGCCTTCAATAGCACCGAGAGACCTGCCTGGAGGAGACAGGAAGAGATACAGGGCTGGTCAGTACCTTGCATGGAGCACTTGACATGGGGCACAGATTCTCTTAAATACACCCTGTCTGCCAGGCTGCAAAGGGACATCTGCCATCTGCCTTCATTTTGTGGGGCTCCCACCCACCCACCCACCCACCCACCTACACTCACCTTGGAACTACAAGGCAAGAGCTTCTTCCATGGGGTGAGGTTCTCGGTGCAGACAACCTCCCGAGGCAGCACTGCGTAGCGCAGGAAGTAGTGATCGGTGTCTGAGGGAGACAGAAGTTTATCCAGAGTATACCTGGGTCCTATGCGCCAGAAGCCACACTCCAAAGATGTGGGTGACCCCACCTTCTCCCTGTACTACCCTACTATCGATGCCAAGTGGTGTCACCTCCAGTCAGAGTAGGCAATGCAGAGATAGCAGCCTTAGGAAGCTACCTAAGCACCCCACAGGATTTAGGATCTAGCCATCTGTGGGAGTGAGAGGAGACCGACGGAAAGGGGCAAATGTTAGGGTGGAAAGTTCAAGAAAGACCTGGAAGGCTATCTCACCATTGGCCAGCCCCAGAGGTTTGAAGGAGGCGGTGGGAGTGACAGTATTGGTGGAGTCGATGAAGTTGAGGGATGCGCAGAAGATCCCCGAGAGAACATTGCTGAGCTCCTTCCAAGACTTATCCACACTAGACACAGACACAGACATACTTACTGTCCTGGGGTTATACCTTTGTAACTCCAAATCTTATGTGGCCTCCTTCACACAGTCATGGCTAACTGCCAAGTCCATGGGAGAATGAGACACCCTTAAACACCCTTCTCATTCTAGTGCCTCACCAGTGTTTTTACTCCTTCAGTCATTGTGCTATCCCACAAATGTTTTGTTAGGCATGGCTAATATGTTTTTAAATACAAATGAATATTTGTCTTTTAAAAAACACCTAATTTGCCAATTACTTGTGGCTTTACATGCCAACAATAGGCATCAATTGCCTGTGATTTGCCTCTTTAGAGAAATAAATGTAGTATCTCAGACTTCAAAGTATTCAGGATAGAATGTTCACTCAGCAAAGAATGTTACTCTATGGTAATGTAATTTCTTTGTGCTGTTCATGCATGCATACCAATACACACAGTGGCAAGGACCGGAGATGAACAAGATTTGTCTTCTTCATTCCCTCTCGTGTGTGTGTGTGTGTGGGTGTGTGTGTGTGTGTGTGTGTGTGTGTGTGTGTGTGTGTGTGTGTGTGTGTGATTAGAGTCTCATACTGAACCTGGAGGTCAATGACTCCAGCAGGCCTGTTCCTCCTATCTCCACCTCCTCAGTTCTGGGATTACAGGCCTGCATCTGCTTTTTTAAGTGGGTTCTGGAACTGACAAACCCAGGTCCTCACGCTTGAGTGGCAAACCAATTTATGACGTGGCATCTCCCCAGCCCTGTAATATCAACCCTAATTTCCAAAATCAACTTGGTGGGATCGCCACCTATTAGCGCGGTTGACCCCAAGGGCAACGCAAGATGACAAGGCCTCCCCCTGCCACACTCCCTCCAAGAACCCCTAACAGTCCCCAAGGCGGGAACTCACTCTGTGACGGTGTCTTGGAACCAGACCCAGAGCTCTGCACCCGATGGGGCCTGCAGGAAGGGTGGCCCCCAGTATCGGGTCCTCCAAAACCCCTGCGTGAACGACAGGTGCAGCTCCCGCAGAGAATACTTGGAGATCAACTGCCCCAGGGCTTTGGGGAAGAGCCTGTAATGAGACACTGAAGAAACCAGGGCGGGTGAGTGGCGACCCAGGTCCCGCCCCCAGAGACTGCTCTCTTGACCGACTCGGTGAGGTGTCACAGAAATTCTCCTCAGGTCCTGAATGAACTCACCTCCTTCCCGCTGCAGATCCGAATCCCAACGCGTACGGAACTGGAATGTGGCGGCCACGTCCCCGGAGGGCAGCGGAGTGATAACGAGCTCCTCTCTCAGGCTGTCGCGCGGGCGCTCCGCGTGGCCCCAGCAGCCCGGTCCCACCAGGAGCAGCAGCGGCAGCAGCGCAGCGAGC